CACCCGGCCGGAAGGCGGCGCCACAGCCCGGATGCGGTCGGCTGGCTACGCGCGGGCGAGGCAGAAAGCCGCTACTCGGCGCGAGTGAGGATGCGTCATTTTGGACCAATCAGAGCACGGGGGCGTGGCCGAGGGACGAACCTGGGGGGGGGGAGTTTTAACCCTTTCCTCCCCGGCGGCCTGGCTGATGGACGCCTGTCAAAATGCTCCTCTCTTGGGAACGATACAAGAACTGGAACCGAAGGCCTCCAAGCCCCTATGAGCGTGTGATGGAGCTGGTCCTAGGTCTTGGGTTTGCCAGAGGGTGAGGAGAAAATCCCTGAATAATCCGGCCTTAACCCTGTGGGGTGGGGGGGAGGGGATGGGGGTGGAATCCAGGTCTGTGGAGCCTCCCCTGCCTTCAAGCTGATGATGTTTCATTCCCAAGTTGTGTTGTTTTGTCTGTTTTTTTCAACTTTAGCTACTTAACATGAGGATCTTCACCTCCTCAAAAATCACAGTCTGAATGTTGCTGATCCTAAGAGGAAGTCCATCTTCTGGCTAGCTTCAAGCCAGAAAGGCCTAGTGGGGGGCTGGTGCTGCCCTTTGGGCAAAGCAGGAACTGTAAGGTCAGCTCTGAGAGCTGGACTGAAAATTGGATAGAGCCACAAATGCCTGGCCCTGAATACGAGATCCTGCAATATTACTGCCATGATCAGGAAGGGGGGGGTTTCCCTTGGTGCCCTAACTCCAACATCTGTAAATCCAACTTTGAGCCCCTATCACAAGAAGAAGGGCGCCAGATTTCACAGTATAAAGAGGTAGGAACCTAGTCCCACTCTCCCTTGAAGCTCAGTCTAAAAATAACTGGATTTTCTTGAGCCAGGAAGGCTCAGATTCCTCTCAAAGGTCAGTCTGACCAATCAGTCCCTTCACAGCCACCATCCAACCCCAACAGAAAGAGGCAACCATCTGTTTTCTATAGAAGTTTATTCCCAAAACAGAGCGTGTGGCTTCACGGAACAATTTTACACAGAGAGGAAAAGAGGGCTGCTGGGCTGGAGGAATGGGGGGGGGGAGAGGAACCTCTCCAGAAAGGGGGATCTACAGAACCTAGGGCATAGCAAGGAAACCCCCCCACCCACAGCAGGCCACAGCCTTCAAAGGCTGGAATTCTTCTGGGTAAAGGAGAGCTAGCTGGGGTGCTGGCTGGTGAGCTTTAGCACCAGTCAGTGAAACAGGATTTTTTTTAAATCTCCTCCGAAATTACTCCAAAAAGTATGCATGGGGTAGGGGTGTGGAGGTCTTGGCACAGAACACCCCAAATCCTGCATAAACCACAGTTCCTGGAGGTCAGAGGATACTTTTAGACCTCCTAGGTGTGCTGTTTAAAGGGGGTGACTCAAGACTGACCTTTGGCCTGGGAGCTTGGGGAGGGGCTGATGGTAAAAACTCCCCTCAAGATAGCTAGGTCCTGGGCTGGGAATGTGGCTTAGTGGTAGAGCGCTTGCCTAACATGCATGAAGCCCTGGGTTCGATCCCTCAGTACTACATACACAGAAAAAGCCGGAAGTAACACTGTGGCTCAAGTGGTAGATTGCTAGCCTTGAGCAAAAGAAGCTCCAGGACAGTATCCAGGCCCTGAGTCCAAACCCCAGGACTGGCAAAAAAAAAAAAAAAAGGCTAGGTCCAAGCCCCTCTCCCACTTTCCCTACCTTTCACGTGTAGACAAAGGAAATTTAAAAACCAACAACAAAATTCTCAATTGTAAACAAAGTATAAAAGCTCAAAAGCTGTAAGTTGTAAACAAAGTTAAAAAAATAAATAAAAAAATAAATCCCCACCTGTAAACAAAGTAACCATTTTTTGTTTTTTTAAGTCCACAGATCTGGACATCAGACAAAGAGCAGTAACAAAAGTGAGTTTTGTGAACAGGTCCTAACAATCCTTTTTTTCCCCCTTTATAAGGGAATAAATAACAGAGGGATGGAAGGAGTTTGATTCTGCAGCCCTGGGACCAGAGGGACTGGGAGGCTGGGGGCGGGGATCCTGTAAACATGAGAGGCCCAGGCCCCCCAGCATCTACATTCTAGGTCTTGAATTCCCTTGTTCCTGTTCCCTTAGTTCACCCACCCCTCAGAGAATCAAATGGCACCACAACTTTTGCTCAGGTAGGAGCAGGGGCCAGCAGCAGATGCCTAGGCCTCTACCCACTGTCTGCAGGGCTGTGTGGGGAGAGGCCTGAGCCCCCTCCCTGAGGGAGAAAGGGAAGCCTTGCTTTGTAAACATGACAGCTGCTGCTACACCAAGCACCTGCAGCATCTGTCCTAGGTCATAAGGCAGTAAGTGGCAGGGACCCCATATACTAAACACACACATCTACAGGGAAGATGGGCCCGAATGAGCCCCCAAGAGGAAATCAGAGGACCTGTTTGCAAGACCCACCCCACCCCCACCGCAGTTCAAGAAGTTTGGCCTGTAGGGCACTGAGGGTAAAAGAAAAAAAAAAAAGAGGAAAGAAAAAGAAAAGAAAACCAAAGATAAATTCTGTACTTTAGGTCCTGACAATCTTTAGATCAACCTTAGGGTAGGGTAGAGGGAGGGGACTTGGCCTGTATCTGTTGCCTGTGACAGATGAGGAAAAAAAAGAGCATATGGTCTAAGGAGTCAAATGGGACC